AGGGACATAAAGGACAGTTTTTGCTCCTTGCCCTCCTAGGTCAACTAGTTCCAGGGGACTATGAGCATCTCCCAAAATGTCCTGTAATTGTGGTGAGTGACCTGTCCTCTTGATCAAGGAGGCCGTGGAGACCCCATGAGATGGACTTGAACCTCCTACAAAGAAGAGGGTCAACACAGAGGAAACATTTCCTCCATGCTTCCAAGCAAAGCTATCCATGGTTGAACAGGACATTTGACTTATCTTCACATAGGCGGGACTGGTCAAAGAAAGGAGCAAGGGGCTCCCCCAAGCCCCTGTGACCCCTGAGGAACAGATCCTCAAACGGCCTTAAGAGTAAAAATAAATTGGTTTATCTGGGCCAACTGTATGGCCTTAAACACCCAAAAGGAAAGTATAACCAAAGATTAAAGGAGCCAACACAATTTCTTAAGAGTCCATATGTATAGCTAAAGGCTACATAACAAGCAACAATGCCAGATAGGAGATACCTTTCTTTGAGTTATTGGCCATGGTGGCCAAAGGGACTCCCAAATAGTAACCCAGCATAGAACTGGGAAAATGAACAGCAGACCCTAATCTTATCTAAAGGAATATTGACAACTGATTGCTGCTAGATGAGGAACAGCTGACCTTCCTAAAACAAAAACTCTAGATAGGCTGACTAGACTCATCAGATGGACAAGTAGTGGGGAATGGCTGGGGGTGCTGGCAATACAGCGGAGAGTAGCAGGGATGGCAGAGTATAAGGGCTCTAGCGGGGGGGTGCTATGGGAGGGTGTCATCTGGAAAGTGGGTGTAGAGATGAATAAGATGGTTTGGGACGTTCTGTGTGATATACACGCACAAAAAAATCAACAAATTTTTAAAAGTGAATTATATTTGAGGAGGAAGCATAAAAATTATGTCATGTTAATTAGTAGAGGTGATAAACATTACCACTGAAACCTATCCGATGACTTTATAGACATACACAAGTACCAAGGATTCGAGTGCAACCAACTATGACTAGTAATAATCAGATACATATAGATTAGAGACGCATGTGCTAACATATCAGGTTATTAGCAAAAACAATGAGTCTTTCTGTATGAAACTGTGTATTTTAATAATGAAATGGAGATCTTTTTTAAAGGTTATACAATCATTCAATTTTATGTCTTAGAGGGTTTATACTGAGTTCAGTATTGTATAACTGTATTAATTCAATAGTGAACCTAAAAATTTTATAGCCACTTTTGAAAGAGATGTATCTTTGCTCTGGAGAGTATTACTGAGTATGTTAAAGCTGTAATGAAATGCTCCTTCTAAAACATAAAAAAATATATAATAAAAAAAAGTTCATGCACTTACAAACAACTATTCCTATATCATCTATCAAATTAAAAACCACAGGAAGAGTGCACATTTCAAAGGTAACCATAAAACCTTAGTGTGGTGGTACGTGCCTATAATCCCAGCACTTCAGAAACAGAGACAAGAGGATCAGGAGCTCAAAGCCAGCCTCAGTTATATAGTGATTTTGACACCAGCATGGGATATATGGGACCCTGTCTCACAAAAGGAATAAGGAATTCACTCATTTTTTCTGAGCTGCTCTTCTTTATCTTGTTGGTATAAGATCCCCATCCTATCACATGTCTTCACTAATCTAAATGATCAGGCATTACTTCTCAAAAGTTTACTTACTGTTTTACTCTCTTTGTATATATGATCACACTATCTAATTAATAACAAAAGCTTGTATGTTGAGCATACTGACTAAACTATGTTAAATCTTGCTTTAAAACCCTAAATGACAGTGATGTTGAAATGACAAGGAGAGGGGTGAATGATAGACTACTTCACAGAAGTTTTTCTGTTTTGAATAATCCTATTTGGAAAATAAATATGAATACCTCAAAACTGGGCCATCTTTTTTCTCTTACCTCGGGTTGACTGGAGATATTCAAGATGAGCGCCCATAGCTCAGCTCTCAGTGCTGTGGGGCTTCCTTGTCTGATATACTGCTGTGCAGCAGCACTATCTTGCTGTGCCAGAACTGTCAAACGTATAGCACAATCTCATTAGAGAATTCATAATATATGAAATATATCTGAAATCTTTAATTATAAATCTTTTGGGAAGCAAAAATTCAGTCTTCATCTCTAACATAATTACATCCTATCCTTTTCTTCTTGGACTCTCTGGATTTTGAGATGGTTCTATTACAGATCAAAAAGGTTAAAGCCTTAAGCTCCTCCAGCTTCAAACAGTGTGATGAATGTGGGCATTTTGAGATCATTCTGCTCCACGAATCTAAAACTCCTAATGAGAGGTAATGCCTGGCTGCTACTGTCAAGTGAAGTCATGTCTTCAGAACTCTTACCTTTCATATACATTGCTACTAAATCATGGATGCTGTCATATGGGAAGTAGCACAGTGCATGAAGTATCTTGACCAAGAATAACATATAAGAATAAAAGACATTCAGCCAGGTGTGGTGGCGCACCTCTTTAGTCCCAGCACTCGCGAGGCAGAGGCAGGCAGATCTCTGTGAGTTCAAGGCCAGCCTGGTCTACACTTCCAGGCCAGTGCCA